ATGCACCACCTGGCACTATTCCCTGTCCACTATATTAGGAGCACATTAGGTTGGTTAGTGATCATAAAATCCAGATGCTGCACATTAATGATTTTAAGGCAGTTTCTGAGGTGCCAAATATGTCAAGAGATTCTTCAGCAACCGTCAGATACAAATACTTCTACACTTGAACTCACAAGGAGATCACAAACCTTATTCATATAGACCTGATGTTGATTCAATATATATGTTTGTTTAATTCATTCATGTAGGGCATCAAGAAGCATCAGTTGCTGTATGCTATGCATTTGCACCATGTGATTCTGATAAAATCATTTAGGTATATGAGCTTATAGTACAATAGCTGTTTTCTTGTTGACCCTTAAATTCGGATATGAGGAGCCCACTGGCAATAATGTGTTGATTATCAATGTTAATGCTGTTAAATTTTAGCTCTTTAGCTGGTGACGGGTTTGTAGATATCAGGCTCATGCAAAATACTGCTGCGAGTCTACAGAAAACAAATGGAAATTTTCAAAGAATAGAGGTTTTTAAATTCATTCAGCGTGCATCGCTGGCTGAGCCAGAATTTATTGCCCATTACGAATTGCCCTTGAGAAAGTGGTGGTGAGTTGTGTTCTTGAACTGCTACTGCCCATATGGTGTAGGTAGAACCATTGTTCTGTTAGTGAGGAGAACCCAGGAATTTGACCCAGTGACAGTGGATGAACAGTGATATAGTTCCAAGTTAGGATGGTGTGAAGCTTGAAGGTCAACTTGCAGATGGTAGTGTTTCCATGAACCTGCTGCCCTTAATTGGGGGAGGCAGTGGCCTAGTGGTATTATCACTGGACTGTTAATCCAGAGACCAAGATAATGTTCTGGGGACCCGAGTTTGAATCCTACCGCGGCAGATGGTGGAATTTGAATTCAACAAAATATCTGGAATTACGAATCTAATAATGACGATGAATCCATTGTCAATTGTTGGAAAAACCCGTCTGGTTCAGTAATATCCTTTAGGGAAGGAAACTGCCATCCTTACCTGGTCTGGCCTACATGTGACTCCAGATCCACAACAATGCGGTGTTGACTCTGAACTGCCCCCTGGGCAATTAAGGATGGACACTAAATGCTGCCTGGCCAGCAACGCCCTCATCCAGTGAATGAATAAAGAAGAAAAAAAATCTCTAGGGGTTAGAGGCTGTGATTTTGGAATGAAGCTTAAAGTCGAAGCATCATCAGAGACACATTGAACGCATGTCATCAGTTTTTGACTCAAAAAAGGCCAAAATTAATATTTTTTAATGTCCTTTACTTGTTTGTTTGGTTGGTATTTATTATATGTAATCTAGCCTACTCTACTTGGTAAGACACTTAAATAAACTAACATATAATCTAATTCCAGTGTTGCTGCTGGAAGAGCATTTGATTTACGTGGACAATTTGATGCTCTGCAGTAGCTTTTTAACTACTTGCTAAGACAAAATCTGTTGACCAAGGTGCTCATATGATAATTACTGATAGAGTGATAAGAAGCATCTCAGTGTCTTCTGACTATTATCAGTGAATCTTTTACAATGTTGCTCGTGATAAATCAAAACAAATACTATTTTATAATTGATAGCCACAGTACAATGTAAAACAAATTGAAGGTGAAATTTGACTGATTGGACCCAGAAAATGCTTGGTTTCTAGGTGGAAAACAAAGGGAAAAGAGCCAGGGACTCATTTCCCTGAGCGTTTTGCATTGCTGAGAGTCCTGTCTTTCCTCTGTGGGAGCCAACAGAAGAGATAGAACACAGAACACAGAACAGAAAATAATACAGCATGGGAACAGGCCCTTCAGTCTACCTTGTCTGTGCTGTCTATAATGCCATTCTAAACTAATCCCATCTGCCTACACATGGTCCATATCTCTCTTACTCACCTGTTCATGTGCCTGTATATATGCCTCTTAAACATTGCTATTGCGTCCATTTCAATACATTCCTAGCACCTTCCATCCTCAGTGTAACCCAAGTCTTGCCTTGCACATCACCTTAAAACTTTCCCCCTCTCATCTTCAAGTCATGTATGGACTATGTTCTCCAAGTGATTGTTTCCCATTTGGTGTGGGGAATTAAGGGGACGTTTTCAAAGGTAAGTCCAAAGTAAGATGGAACTATTGTTAATGTTGTTCGCTAATGGAAGAATGTTTAATTTCTGAAAGTTAACACTGCATTTGGGCAATAAATGTTTAATCGTTATTTTGTGAGAAAAGTATACAGGCTGGAAGGTGATTTTATTCCTGTTCCACATTATTGATTTGCTAATTTCTGTGAGAACGCTGTTGTGATGTTCAAAGTTGTGTAAACGTTGTTATAATGTAAGTGTCTCCAGTATTTAATACATTATTTTTTTTTAAAAGTTGCGAATTGGGATCCATTCTGGTTCTGTACTGGCAGGAGTTGTTGGTGTGAAGATGCCTCGTTACTGCTTATTTGGAAACAACGTTACTCTGGCCAGCAAATTTGAGTCGGGAAGTCAACCACGACGCATTAATGTCAGTCCCACAACATACCAGTAAGTACAAACACAGCATAGCTCACTAAAATGTGATAGTACAGCTAATGACAGGATCAATGACATGTTTTTTCATGCAAAGTGCCTCACACATCAGCTTGGATCTAAGAATGTAGAGAAAACTGTGTTATCTGATGACTGTCACCTAATAGATATCCTTCCCTACATCATGAACGCACGATACAGTGACCAAAATTAATCTGACATTTCAGGTGTGAAAATTCCTCCTGCTTTTTCTAGCTGTATTTACTGAAGTAAATCTCAGGTTTTTTTTCTTTTCAATTGTCTGCCCTCTCTATTAGACCAGATTTTCTTCTTTGCTATACTTGGGGAATGTTACCTTTATCTTCACTGTGTTGCACCAGGATTACCTCTGTCTTCCCTCAGGTATATAACTAGATTTACCTGTCCTGGCAAATGGAATGATGATGGTAGTTCCATCCATTATGGGGTGGCATGGTGGCTCAGTGGTTAGCACTTCCGCCTCACAGCACCAGCAATCTGGGTTCGATTCCATCCTTGGGCAACTGTCTGTGTGGAGTTTGCATATTCTCCTTGTGTCTGCATGGGTTTCCTTTGGGTGCTCCGGTTTCCTCCCACAGTCCAAAGATGTGCAGGTTAGGTAAATGAGCCATGCTAAATTGCCCATAGTGTTCAGGGATGTGTAGATTAGGTGGGTTACAGGGGGATGGGTCTGGGTGGGATGCTCTGAGGTTTGGTGTGGACTTGTTGGGCTGAAGGGCCTGTTTCCACACTGTAGGGATTCTACTCCAGTGTGGTGAGACTGGCAGTAGGCTTCACCACCAACATTTCTTCTAAATTGCACAGGTGCACAGTTGCTCAGCAGTCCAGAACATACTGCAAAAGCTACACCCCTTTCAAAACGCACATGCATGTAATAGTTTTAAAGGTATCAAACAGTGTCACAGGTTGCACAAAAAATAAGTTAGAGGGAATGTGCTCACTATCCAAAGTTTTCATTATTTTCTACACAATCTTATCCAATTTCAGATGGAATCATGGAGGAAGCTTCTTCACACAACTCCAGATTCCTTCGTGACCTCAAGTATATTAATCTTGTCAATAATAGAGAAGCTTCTGGTTAAAATTTGGACAGAACTCTGGACAGATACACACAAAATTGGCAGTATACCACACTGCAGCATAATGCCTATCCTGAAGTTTGCAGTTATTTAATTAGACCTTTCTAAAATAAAGTTTGTAAGGTGTAAGGTGTAATGTGTTTCTCTGTAAGTATAGTTGTTTCATTTCAGTTTTCAGCAATCACATTGGACTGTTCAGAGCTCTGTTATACTCAATTACCTCACTGATACCAAACAAGGTATCTTAAAACCCAGCACTAAGGATTGCAGTTGTTGTGCACCAAGCAACAGCACTAAGCAACCTAATTTGATTTGCCTTGAGTGCCATTAAATTCTAAGCTCCATGATATTGTTATGTATAAATCCAGCTCATTGCATTTTGTAAAGTATGCTGTTCAGCAATATTCTAATTGGCTCCTTCAGCCGGTGAGCATGCGTTTCATAGAAGGACCTGCTCTAGGCTACCAGATTTAGATTTCAATCAACATCATTAATACAAGACCATAAAAATCAACTAAGTGCTCTTATTAATGCATTTTGAATATTTTGTAACACTTCTAACAATATGTTTGATCAAGCATTACAGAACTAATTGGTTCTTGCTAACATCTAGCTCTCTGAGAATGGGAAAAGGTAGCACATCTAATTATTTTGACATTTGCAAGCCAATTTTCAGCAGGCTAAATCTTTCCCTCTTCCAGGATTGGGTTATTTTAATTATTGCTGGCTATTTTGGTATTTCTTTTCATCACTATTAATTAATTTCATAGGCTTAATGGCTTAGAAATTAAAATGTGCTGCCCTCATTTTAGAGGCGTGAAACCAGAACCTAAGAGTTCAAAATGAACATATACCCAAACTGGGATTGAACCTCCTTGCCATATTGGATTGCATGTACCATTGCCAGTCAAAAGCATAAACTTATTTTAAAACAATGCTGGTTATGAATTTTCTTTCTGAATTCAACAGCCATGCACCCTAGTAACTATCATCCTTTCAACCAGAATAAACTCTGTTTCACAGTTGTTAGCCTAATTTGACAACAAAAATGAGCATTAAAGCTTAATTTAAAAGAAAACTACAAGAATTAATTTCAGAATCAAAAAGCAACCATTTTGCAGAATATAGAATCAATTTTGTACAAAACTCTGGTACTTATTGTGTGTGCTCATTTAACTATAGCCTATTGTTCTTAAGTAGTGGATCCCCAAAATCTTCAAATCCTTTAGCAAACCTTGCGAATCCACCAGCTTGAAGGACAAATCCAGAAAGAACATGGAAACCTCATCACTTACAAGTTCCTGTCGCATTAACATATCACCCTGACTTGGACATCTATTGTCATCCTTACTTTGTTACTGTGAGAGAAATCTGGAACTCCTTAATTAACAGCATTATGTGAAATTCTTCACTACATGGACTGAGTGATTCAAGAAGTTTGCTCTTTGCCACCTCCTGAATAGTAATCAAGGATAGCAATTATTTTATTCTCTCACAGGATACGGCTGGGCCAGCAATAATCACACATCTCTAGTTGCCCTTGAGAAAGTGGTGGTGAGCTACTTTCTTGAATTGCTGCAGCCCATTTGGTGTAGGTTCGTACAAAATGTTGTTAGAGAGGGAGTTCCAGGATTTTGATCCAGCGACACTGAAGAAACAGCGATATATTTCAAGTCAGGATGGTGAGTGGTTAGAAGGGGAACCTGCAGGTGGTGGTGTTCCCATGTATGTGTTGCCCTTGCCCTTTTAGATAGTCATGTTTGTGGGCTTGGAAGGTGTGAAATGAGCCTTGTTGAATTTCTGCAGCGCATCTTGTAGATTGTACACACTGCTGAAACTCAGCATCAGTGAACTACAGTTTGTGAGTTTGTGGATGTGATGCCAATCCAGTCAGCTGCCTTGTCCTGGATAGTGTCAAGCTTCTTGAATGTAGTTGCAGCTGAACTCATCTAGGCAAGTGGGGAATATTCCTTTGCACCCATGTCTTTTAGATCATGGACAGTCTTTCGGGAATCAGGATGTGAGTTACTTGCTACAAGATTTGTAGTGTCCGACCTGCTCTTGTAGCCACAGTACTTATAAGGCTAGTCCATTTCAGTTTCCAGTCAATGGTAAGTCCCTGAATGTTGATAGTAGGGGATTCAGTGATGGTGATACCACTGAATTCCAAGGAGCAATGTTTACATTTTCTTTCGTTGGAGATTATCATTGGTCTGGCACTTGCCTGACTCTTACTTGCCACTTGTAGGCTGAAACTCGGTATTATCCAGGTCTTGCTACATTTGGGCATAAAGTGCTTCAGTATCTGAGGAGTTATAAATGGTGCTCAATATTGTGCAATCTTCAGCAAGTATCCCAAATTCTGACCTTGTGATGAATGGAAAGTCATTGATGAAGCAGCTGAAAATGGTTGGGCCTAGGACACTATCCTGAGGAACACCTGCAGAGATGACTGTTCTCCAACAATCATGGTGGCTCAGTGGTTAACACTGCTGCCTCACAGTGCCAGTGACCCAGGTTTGATTCCAGCATTGGGCAACTGTCTGTGTGGAGTTTGCACATTTCCCCATCTCTGCATGGGTTTCCACCGGGTGCCATGTTTCCTCTCAAAGTCCAAAAATGTGCAGGTTGGGTGGACTGGCCATGCTAAATTGCTCCTAGTATCCAGAGGTGTGCAGGTTAGGTGGGCTAGCCATGGGTAGTGCAGGTTTACAGGAATACGTTAGGGGGGTGAGTTTGGGTGGGATGCTGTCTGGAGGGTCGGTGTGGATTTGATGGACCGAATGGCCTGCTTCCACACTGCAGAGATTCAATGGATTGTATGAACCATGATCATCTTCCAATGTGCCAGGTATGACTCCAACCAACAGTTTTCTCCCTGATTCCTATTGACTCCAACTTTGCTAGAGCACCTCGATGAAGTAATCAGTCAAACGTAGTCTTGATGTCAAGCATAGTCACTCTCACTCTTCCTGTGGTGTTCAGTTCTTTTGTCCATGTTTGAATCAAGGCCATGGCGAGGAGCTGAATGGCGCTGGTGGAATCCAAACTGGGCATCAGTGAGCAGGGTTTTGCTAAGCAAGTGCTGTTTGATGGTACTGTTGATGATACCTTGTGTCACTTTACTGGTGTTCATGAATGGACTGATAAAGCAGTAATTGACTGAGTTGAATTTTTCCTTCTTTTTGTGTATGGGACATATCCGGGCACTTTTCCACATTACCTGGCAGATGCCAGTGTTGTAGCTATACTGGAACAGCTTGGCTAGGGGCATGGAAAATTCTGGGGACACAAGTTTTCAGTACTATTGTTGGAATGTTGTCAGGGCCCACAGCCTTTACATTACCCAGTGCCTCCAGATATTTCTTGTTATTGCGTGGAAATATCAAATAGTGGGAGTTTTTGAGGAGCTCTGTTATCTGTGTGCTTGGTTTCAGATTGGAGCATCTTAGCCTGGTACATAAGCTGCACTGCTGGTTGAGTACAAATATCATTATGGTTGAAATACTTCTGCTTACACATCTAATTATTACTGTCTTGCCTCATTGGTAGGTTTGTCTATGCCAAAATCACAAGGAATAGAAGCCGGTCTGGCCATTGGGATCACAGAGTCAGCTCCACCATTTAGTATGTTCAGGGCTGTTTTGATTATCATCTTAACTCTGCTTCTCTGTCTGGCTCCAATAAGCACAGTATTTCTTATGTCTTATTCTTCCATGGGATGTTGTGTTGCTTGCCCACCCAGCATTTTTGCCCATCGTTAATTGCATTTCAGAGGCATTTAAGAGTATACAAGTCTATTACTACTAGTCTGAAGTCTATGTCTGCCAGACTAGGAAAGATGGCCAATTTCCTTACCTAAAAGGTATCTGTGAACCAGCCTTTTAAGTCCAGATC